ACTGTCGAACAGCTCTTACTGTCAGGAAGTTCTTCCTAATGTTTAGGTGGAATCTTCTTTCTTGTAGTTTGGATCCATTGCTCCGTGTCCGCTTCTCTGGAGCAGCAGAAAACAACCTTTCTCCCCCCTCTATGTGACATCCTTTTATATATTTGAACATGGCTATCATATCACCCCTTAACCTCCTCTTCTCCAGGCTAAACATGCCCAGCTCCCTTAGCCGTTCCTCATAAGGCATCGTTTCCAGGCCTTTGACCATTTTGGTTGCCCTCCTCTGGACACATTCCAGTTTGTCAATGTCCTTCTTGAACTGTGGTGCCCAGAACTGGACACAGTACTCCAGGTGAGGTCTGACCAGAGCAGAATACAGTGGCACTATTACTTCCCTTGATCTAGATGCTATACTCCTATTGATGCAGCCCAGAATTGCATTGGCTTTTTTAGCTGCCGCGTCACACTGTTGGCTCATGTCAAGTTTGTTAAATTGAACTGATATTGGGGACTCCTTCGCAGCCAGCAGCAAGGATTGGGTAACCGCTGTTATTTTCTTCAATGGCATATCCTCCAACATTTCATCTCCAATGAAAATAGGGACGCCCCATTCCACAATGATAGTTTTACTGTTTATACCCGACACATCTGAATGGGTTGCCCCAGCCACTCTCGCGGCTTCCAACATATATAAAAATATAATGAATCATTAAACAAAATTCCCTATACAGGATTGCCTTCAGACAGCTCAGGGGTCGGATAACGCCATATCACTCAACATTTCTCTGATGAAAATAGAGACATCCTACCATACCCTCCAACATTTCATTATCAATCAGAAACCAGGACATCCCTGGAAAATAGGGAGATGCCAGAGATTGAACCCACAACCTTCAGCATGCAAAGCAAATGTCCCAACATAAGATCAGGCCAAAGGCCCATGAGTTCAGCATCCTGTTCTCAAAGTGCTCAACCAGATGCCTGTAGGAAACCAGCTAGCAGGGCCTCAGCACAAGAGGACTCTCCCTTAGTGGGATTTCTGGTAAATGGTCTTCAGAGGCATATTTCCTCCAGCTGGGATAGCCATCATGGCTAGTAGCCTTTGAGCCATGACCCTTATAGTCAGATTGAGGTTGAATCCTGACAAGACAGAAGTACTGTTTTGGGGGAACAGGAGGCGGGCGGATGTGGAGAACTCCTTAGCCCTGAATGGGGTAATTGTGCCTCTGAAGGACCAGGTGCGCAGCCTGGGAGTCATTTTGGAATCACAGCTGTCCATAGAGGCGCAGGTCAATTCTGTGTCCAGGGCAGCTGTTTACCAGTTCCATCTGATATGCAGGCTGAGACCCTACCTGCCCGCAGACTGTCTCACCAGAGTGGTGCATGCTCTAGTTATCTCCCGCTTGGACTACTGCAAAACGCTCTACGTGGAGCTACCTTTGAAGGTGACCTGGAAACTACAACTAATCCAGAATGCGGCAGCTAGACTGGTGACTGGGGGCGGCCGCCGAGACCAAATAACACCGGTCCTGAAAGACCTACATTGGCTCCCAGTACATTTCCAAGCTCAATTCAAAGTGTTGGTGCTGACCTTTAAAGCCCTAAATGGCCTCGGCCCAGTATACCTAAAGGAGCGTCTCCACCACCATTGTTTTGCCTGGACACTGAGGTCCAGCGCTGAGAGCCTTCTGGCAGTTCCCTCACTGCGAGAAGCAAAGTTACAGGGAACCAAGCAGAGGGCCTTCTCGGTAGCGGAGCCCGCCCTGTGGAACGCCCTCCCATCAGATGTCAAAGAGATAAACAACTATCTGACTTTTAGAAGACATCTGAAGGCAGCCCTGTTTAGGGAAGCTGTTAATATTTGATGAATTATTGTGTTTTAATATTTTGTTGAAAGCTGCCCAGAGTGGCTGGAGAAACCCAGCCAGATGGGCGGAGTATGTATGTATGTATGTATGTATGTATGTATAAATAAGTTGTTGTTGTTGCACCTGTTAAAGACCTTTTAATTTCCTGAAGCTTTATTTGTGCTGTTCTAAATTTTGCTGTTTTATGCTATTTTGTGCCTTTTAGCATGTTTATATGTTTGTACGTGTGTGCGTCTGCAAGTGATTGGAGATTAGTGGCATTAAAATATTGATAATAAATAAACAAAGGAGCACCCACTTTGTTTTACAGGGTCATGTGGTTGTTCCGGAATAAGTGATGACTCTCAGGGAAAAAAAATGCAACACAGGCCTCTTGAGAGATACCCCACCTTTCCAAGGGCATAGGAGTTGTATCTGTCATGCCAAGAAGTGGGAACCTTCCTTGGTGGCGGCTGAGCCACGCAGGTGAATTCTAACAGGGATGCTGGGTGTGGTATGGTTAATTCTGACTCAGCAGAAGTAGTCTGGGAATGAATGGTGGTGCCCTGACCCGTGAAACAGGTTCTGGTGATGCAGGCTGTGTGCAAGTTTTCCTCTGAGCCCACGATACCTGCCCTGTTCCCCTGCCGCTTTGCTAACAAGCAGTGACTTGTCTCTTTGTTCAGAGCTCAGAGGTATGAAAGCCACTATAGAAAACCAGGCTCGGGCTCATTTAGAAACATCCATTGATGGATCTTTTTCTCTCCCCCCTTCCCCCCCCATCCTGTTTTGCAAAAATACACCGCACCCCCGGGGTTCATTCACAAAACCTGGTTGATAACAGCTGGACATTTCTGGGCGATCGATCAGGATATCAGTTCTCTTTGTGAGAGCAAAAAGGGCAATCTTAGTTGCTGAAAGAAATGCTGAGCTTGAACTCTGGCCCTGGCTCTCAACAATTTAATAAATAAAAGAGCGGGGGTATGATTTTGGATGGTTGTTGCACACAGCTCCCTTCTGTAAAAAAGCTGAGCCCTGCCATGCCTTTGAGAAGCTGCTTGGTCTTGTGTCCTTTTTCCAGCTGACCCACTAGGCATGACCTAGGTAGCAACAGTCACAGCACCTTTACCACTCCTGACTGCTGCTTTTGCCACAATTGCAAACAACTGAGCACAGGGATGAGTGTGGGCTAAGAAGAAAAAAGGCCATGCACCTATACATTTTTTATTTGGGCACCGCTTAGTGTTTGACTGCAACAGAGGTGAGCAGCTTCAGCTGTCGGGGTGCAAGCAGATAATTTTCTCTTCTGCAGCTAAAAGCATCATTGCCGGCAAACAGGATGGAGCAGTGCAGCTGCATCTCACAAGCCCTTTTAGCTGCTCTAAACCCACAGTGTTCCTCTGATTGTTCCACATTCCCTGCACAGCAATGGATTCCCAGTGCTCTCCCATGTGTCTGACTCTCCAGTATCCTCTTGTGTGCTGTGTCATCACCACCTAATAGCAGCCTCTGTTTCAAAGGAGCCATTCCTGTGGCACAGTTGCAGTGCATTGCACATAGGCTGGGCAAAGCAATGGGACTGGATCTATCTCCTGCCCACAAGTCTGCTAGACTATTACAGAGAACCCTTCAAAATAGGCAGAGGTACCAGGGTAGATATGGGGGGTGGGGTGGGGTTCTTGGCAGTCAAGCAGGACTACATACAGATGAAAATTTGAAAGCTACTGGAATAATAATGATAATAATAACAAAATACTGTAGATTTAAGGTCTGACATTGGGAAGGAGGGAGAATAAGGAGGAGTAATGAAATTTAGGATATCCCCCCCTCCAGCATCCCCTCCCTCTGTCTGGAGATAAGGTTGAAACAGATGAGTCATAAGACTCCTTACAATGTTGTTAAGGGACAAATTCATTTGTGGCCAAATACATGAATTTGTATTTGAGTCAAGCACACTCACATACCCTGCTGGAAGGTAGGAGAGACTGTAAGGTGCCTTTCGTTACGTACTCAAAGGTAGCAACTACAATTACTAACCCTCAGTCTGAATCTCTGAACAGTTTTGAAATACCAGATGGGGTTTCTTTGGGGCTTCCTTTTAAGTTGTGAAATCTCGTTGGCCTGTACAAAGTAGCCAGAGGGACATAGGTGGGGTCAGTCCAGGCTAACCAAGAGGCTTAACCAACACCAGACACTCAATTCTGTTCATTTAAGAATCAAGTTGGAGACATTCAGAAATGGGAAATAGCAAAACAAAACAAAACAAAACAAAACAAAATAGAGAATCAACTAGCTTACCTTTATATCAGATGAAGTGGATTGTAGCCCAAGAAAGCGTATGCGGCAGTAAATCTGTTAGTCTTTAAGATGCCACAACCACTCCATTGGAAACTATTGTTTTCTGAATCAATGAACCTTGTTTTTTTTGCCTGTGACTGTCTTCGATATACAATTGCCAGGGCAGAGGCTAGACTTGGCAGATGTCAGTTCCTGATGCCGACATTTCCTTCCTGACCCCTGTTGCTTTGCTGCCAAAGTCTGTGGGCCAGAGACTTCCATCGAGGCTCAAATCCATCGTTATCTGGAAACTCTAAGCTCAGGAGAACTCCAGCGGTAACTGAGAACTGAACCTTGCATGTACCTATGAGAACAACTTCAGTCGGATGCTCCTTTGTACCTTTGTGTGTACACAGTGTTTGCATTTTCTGAGATTCACAGCAAGGGCATCTGCTGATCAATCAAAGTAAACCCCTTGTTGGTAGCAGGCCCGGGTGTCACTGTGGATTACACAAGGATGCTTCAAAGAGCCAGGAGAGGGTTCAGGCAACCCAGTAACAATGCTAAAAAAAGGAAAAAAGGGAAAAGTTAACAAAAATTCCCCAGCGCGTCAGATGATTCATTTTCCTCGAATGAAAACCGACTCACATTTCAAAGGAAGAGCTTATGAGAGCTGGCTGTGCTTGAAGGAGAACTCAGCAGAATAGACCAATAAACCAATGAGCAAAAGATGATTGGGGGAAATTCTGGGCCATGGGAAAGGTGACATTCATGGGTCCGTGCCACTTCCTACTCCTTTCACTGTGCAGTGGAGCAGAGGGGAGCCGTGCTCTCCAAATGTCTGATAGCGGAACCACATTTTTCTCTCAATTAAAAGTGGAGGCAGGTATCATAGCTCAGCCGGCAGAGCATGGGCTTTGCATCCCGAAGGTCCAGGTTCAATCCCTGGCATCTTTGAGATGTGGAAAGGCTTCAGTCTGATCTCTTGAAGATCCTCCAGATATTTTGGACCATAATCCACATCAGCCACAGCCTGCATGGCCTGCGGTCACAGATGATGGGAGCTGTAGTCTAGATAGAATATCTAGAGCATGGATTCCCAAACTGTGGTCCACAAACCACTGGTCGTCCTCAAGCTTCATTCACGTGGTCCATGCAATGTCTGTGAAAAACATTTACTTTTAAATAGTTTTTTTTTAAAAAAAAACACATTGCATTTTATTGTATTCTATTCCATAGAATTCAATTTGTAGTACAATATAATGCAATATAAGAAAACCAAAAACTATTTAAAAGCAGAAGAAGAAGAGGAGTTTGGATTTGATATCCCACTTTATCACTACCCGAAGGAGTCTCAAAGCGGCTAACAATCTCCTTTCCCTTCCTCCCCCACAACAAACACTCTGTGAGGTGAGTGAGGCTGAGAGACTTCAGAGGAGTGTGACTAGCCCAAGGTCACCCAGCAGCTGCATGTGGAGGAGCGGAGACGCGAACCCGGTTCACCAGATTACGAGTCTACTGTTCTTAATCACTATACCACACTGGCTCTCAGCATCTAGCACTTTGCATTACTTCATGGAGGAGAGGGCTATCGAAGGCTACTAGCCAGGGCTTTTTTTCAGTCAGAGCTCATAGGAGCTCAGCTCTGGCACTTTCCAGGTGGGCGCTGTTGCCATTTGAAGACAACAAGGGAGAAGTTCATGGTGAGCTCCGGCTCCTCTTTTTCTGGAAAAATAGCAGTGCTGCTAGCCATGCAGGCTGTGCTCTGCCTCCACAGTTGGGATCACTTCTGAATACTTCTGAATATCAGCTGCTGGAAGCCACAGGAGGGGAGAGAGCTCTTCCGCTTGGATCTTGCTTGTGGACTGCCTACACACATCTGGTTGGCCACTGTGAGAACAGGATGCTGGACTTGATGGGCCATTGGCCTGAACCAAGAGGTTCTTCTTATATTCTTATTAAAATTGTCATATAACAGGTAGAAGAATCGTTAAGGGGTCTGTCAAGTTCCTCAGCAATTTTTCAGTGGTCCATGGGTGGGAATGAGAACTACTGGTCCTAGAGTATATGTAAATATAATATAAATATGATATAAATTAGTGTATGGTTAAATAATACAGCAGCAGTGAGACTTCCTGGAGTGGGGAAACCAGGTGTAGACAATATTGAATTACATGGACCAGTGGTCTGACTCAGTAGATAGCGGCTTCCTAAGTTCCATTGTTGGGCCCAGAAAGGTTTACAGTGGTACCTCGGGTTAAGTACTTAATTCGTTCCGGAGGTCTGTTCTTAACCTGAAGCACCACTTTAACTAATGGGGACTCTTGCTGCTGCTGCGCCGCCGGAGCACGATTTCTCTTCTCATCCTGAAGCAAAGTTCTTAACCCGGGGTACTATTTCTGGGTTAGTGGAGTCTGTAACCTGAAGTGTATGTAACCTGAAGCGTATGTAACCCGAGGTACCACTGTACTTGTAGATTGCACAAAAATAAGAACTGTCTACCTTTTGTTTTGGACACGCACATCTTCTGCATACTTCACCTGAGGTGGTTTTGCTTTGCTCTCCACAACAAGAATGGTCGAGGCAATCTTGTTGCAGAGACAGAGCTATGGGGTGGGATTTCCCAACCTCAAGTGAAGACTGAATGGAAGGAGGTCAGGCAGCGACTCGTGCAGAGATATGGCAGGCAGCCTCCCCTGAGAGCAAGTCATCAAGCTGTACCTTTTGCATCGGCAATGAATGATCAGTCCATTTCCATCTGATACAGAGGGTGTAATTGCTCAGTCCCAGCAGAGGCTGACTGGAAGACAGCAGGCCCAGGAGCACTGACTCTGTCAGAGACAGAAGGTGCAAATTTACTTAATTAGTAATTTGAATTCTCCCACCATCCAGTTTGAGAATTACTGGGGCTCAGTAATAGTGCAGTTTGCAAGGGTTCCTCTGCTTGCTCGATTGCTGCCGCCCCCCTAGGGTCTGGCCCAGCAATTTGGGATCTCCTGATTCTCATTCTGCTCTGCCTAACATCTGAAAAGGGAAGGAGGAGAAGCCTAAAGTGGGAAGAAAAAACCTTCTTGTGGTGAGTCTTTACCACTAAAAGGGAATAGGTTCCCCACAGATGGTTACTATTCTGACAATTTATCCACTTCTTAAAGATCAAAAAGGCCTAGCAGAATAGATCTTGTTTATTGAGATTGCTAGCTTAAGTCCCTATTTCCCCTGCCCCTTTTCTATGTAGCTTGGCTCACTTGCATTCATCATCTTAGTTTGCTGTATAAACACCATTTTGGGGTACTCTGGATATCTTCATATAGCACAGCATAGTAGGTTGGTGGTCAGAGGCAGAATTTACAATGGCCTGCTGAGATGGGAAATTCTGGCAACTGCACATAGGTTGAGTCTCTCTCTGGCTTCTGGAGAGTGGCAAAACCTATTTCACCCATATCTGGCAGCTTTCATCCATGTTTCTCCCTGGTTCGCTGCTTCCTGTTTGTAAATTACTGCATTTTGTGGCTTTAAAAATTGCAGAAGGTTTAGTGCTCTGTTATTACGAATGCAAGCCACCTTGAAAGCAGGGTCGCGGATTTAAAAACTACTAACAAAAATATACGCAAGCAGGGGGCATCTGTTTTTCTTTCTGAGTGCTGCACTCTTAGGACTCTGCAATTAAAAAAACCCAAACAATTTATGGGATAGGTGCAGGCTGGAGCACTTCTACTTTGCAATGTGTTTGTGAGTAGTGATGAGGAAAAGGCCTCAAGAGGCCATGGAGATGCCCTGATTTTGAATTCTGCTCCACAGCCAATCTTCGTGGGGTGCTGCTTGCTTATGAAAGGTCTGAGTGGGCCTATGGTTGCCAACTGACCAGGAAAAACTAGCCTTGCCTGATCCTGCGCCTTCAGCAACAGCTTGATCTGCAGAAATTAGCAGGTGATGCTCAGCATTATCACTTGCTGCTGTCCAAGGATCAATCTGTTGTTCAAGGCCCAGGAGCAGAGGATGGTAATGGAGCTGGCATCCCTGTCACCAGGTTATTCTTCCTATTCATGCCAGCTGGTCCAGACTTTGGCAGGTGTCGCTGTAGCTTCGCCATCTTTCTTAAAAGTGCCAGAGCAAACACTCCAGCTTCACTCCATCATGCGTAACCTTTTGCTTGCTCTGGTGTCTGCTGTATAGACTATCACATTTCCCTGTCTGGCTGTTTAGTTAGTTTGGGCCAATTTAATCTCCCCTCATAACTCAGGCCTTGCAGCCCTTCTGATGTGTGAAGTGCCTTCCGTTCATCTCTGCCTTTCTGCTCCATTGCCCAGTTCAATTTGGTCGCTCCTTGCCCTCCTCATCCTCCTTGCTTGTCTCAGCATAAGTGTACACTCTTGTTAACCTTTCTCCTCCGCTCCGCGAGGATAAGATCACGGCCTGGAAGTTTCCCTCCTCTTCCTTTATAGGGTTGCCTGCTCAAGGTATCCTGACAAACAGTTTCCTGCATTTCCTTTCCTTCTGAACCCACTGTTTGCACACACACACACACACACACACACACACACACCCTGTGTATACACACGTGTAACTGGGGCTGGGAGAGAAATCCAGTTCAGTTCATGCTTAAATGCAAGCCAGCTTAGTTCACAGCATGCAAAATGAAACACAGGCATCCACTGAAATTCGTACGTCTTTGAATTTTGCAGGTCTCCAGGTAAGTCACATGTACAGAAATGCATATAGTAGGGGGAAGTCTGCATAAAAGCCTATGCATTCATTAATATACTCAAAAAAAGCCTTAAATCAGGGGAAAATTTCTTAGCTATGTGGTCAAGAATATGTGCCACCACTGCTCTTGATTTCTCAGGTTGGAGGATGACTTCAGATTTTAAACTTTAAAACTGGATGTAAAGTGATGCCAAGACAACTCAGCTCATCTCTTAAGCCAGAGGTTTCAAGTGTACCTACTCAGCCTGCTGCTCAGGTGTTAACTCTCAATGGGCAATTCCAAGGTCCCCGCTTCTCTTTATTCATACGGTTCCTTATCTTTCAACTGAACTTGGATCCAATAGACCTTCCAGTAGAGGAATGTCCTCTGTCAGGTGGGACACATGGCCACCCTGCTTCCACAAGTCTGCACTGCTCTCCTTTCCCAGCAATCTGCACCTCTTAATTGAATTTTGAATAAGAAGTGCTAATGGCTCCATCCATCTTTTCTGCCTTGACAAACTGCCCACAATGGATGAGGGCCAGCAGTTCTAACTGGTCTCCCACCTACTTTTGTCTTATTGTTATATCCCAGTTTGTCGAAAGATTCATAGTGCCAGGTTAGGAATATAACATGTGTATGTATGGGAGAGCATCTGGATGCTCTGGAGCTTGGGAACTCATTCCGTGAACTTGAGCTCATTGGAAGCACCAAGAAATCTTGGCCTTGTTTGCTTGTCACTTCAAACCATAGTTATTTTGGCACTACAGGCAAACAACAAGGGAATAAGCAGTAAGTGAAGGTCTGCATCATGAACGGGGGGGGGGGGGAATAAAAATCTGCATTGGGATCTGTTGCTCTATGGATCCTGCCACCTGAGGCAGTTGCCTTGCCTTGCCCTGTGAATGGGCCGGCCCTGAGTTATGCCAGCATTAGGCTAAGCTAGTTTCCAAACCCAGAACCATGGTTTGTCTCTCTCCAAACAAACCATGAGCAGTAAGCCAAGAACAGCTTGTGGTTGGTTTGGAGAGAGACAAACTACGATCCCAGCTAAACCATGGCTTAGGTTTGCATAGTGTAGCAATACATCAGGAATGGAGGAAGATTTTTTTCTCTGTGCACCAGCATCTGGTGTGTTCACCTTTATACCATAGTTAAGACCAGGGATGCGGGTGGCACTGTGGTCTAAACCACTGAGCTTCTTGGGCTTGCTTATCAGAAGGTTGGCAGTTCGAATCCCTGCGATAGGGCGAGCTTCCATTGCTCTGTCCCA